TAGTCTATGCACGTTAATAAAAAAAAAAACATTTTCTTTTAACTCCAGGTTTGTTTTTGTAGACCTATTGTATAAATAAATAAAAGTATTGATTGTAATACTGTATATTCTTACATAGTTTTGAAATATATTGGCTTTAACGATTTATTTGATCTGTTTTACATTTTTCCCCACATCACTTTGTTTTATGTAAAACATAAATCTTATCAAACGGTGCAAATCAAAATACCCGATTGATAAATGCTTCAAGCTGTGAAACATTTGCGTTTATTCAGTTGTTTTTTGACCTTTACAGATACTCTGCACATGAGGGCGCTGTGAGCTTGTTAAACCATTAAATAAACTCATTAAATGCTTTTCCCTGTCTTTTGGTGTTTTTTGTAAGTACAGAAAAATCCCAAAACAAATTTGAAATTTATCACTTTTAGACCTCAGATCAACATAATATTGTTGAAGCTAAAAAATCATCTCAAATTGTATCTGCTCTGGTGTTTTCACTTATTGCCTGCAGGACCACGTAACATCAGAAATTTGCTTTATAATCATATATTTGAAGTGATCATCACTGTTTCAAAAGGTCAGAGGACTGTTTTGATCTTCCTGCTTTGACAAGCAATTATATAATTATTATTCAAAGCTAATGTCCAAAAAATAAATTGATTTAAATAAAATTAAACATTTCAGTGCATTTTTTTTCTTTTAATCATGTTCTGAATAATATGATCTGGATAAGTGACGCTTTTGAATAGAAAAATGACAAATTTTCATCTATTTTTGAAATCTGCAGCAAGAAAAATGCTCACCGTTCTTTCTTATTGTAGTATTTATGAGTTAATAATTGTACATTAAATACATACCCATGAATTATGACCACATAGATTGACCACTAACAGACATGTTATTGTTAATTAGTTTTTTTTAATGGGGACATTTCCATTTTATATAAAGCTTTTTTTATKATTCCCAACACTTTCAAGAAATATTAAAAATGATGAAATTATCCACAATAGGTTCTTTGAATGGTAAGTTATACYGTAGATAGAAAATGTATTTTAGACGTCAAATTTATTTGCATTGCACATAAACATGAATTATGCGATATGATATATGATACAACGGCTTGCCATACWRKGTTGCTGTTCCAAGCACACCAAAATGGCAGTTTTTCAACTACTTTGGAGTTTGGGTGCAAAGGCGCTTTTAATCCCGTTCTCTTTTATTTTTGCGGCATTTCTCGGTTATTGCTTTTATGTTAAGTACGTGCACGTGAAATATGACCACATACCGGGACCACCGCGAGACAGGTAAAAAGAAAGAAAGAAGAAAAAGCGAAGATTGGTTGTTGCAGGTTTTATTGTGACGCATTTTTCTTTTGAAGTTTCTTACTGGGTCACTCACCGACGTTAAAGAGGATTATGAAAAATGACGGGCTCATACATGACAAAGTAATTGAATGGTAAGTTTTTATGCTGCAGATGATTCTTTAAGAAACTCGAAATGAACATAACTTTGCTTGTGAGGAAACTTCAAGTTTGTAACATTCCTACAGTCTTCGTATTGAACGTGTAAACAGATGTTTTTGCTAATAATATGCACGCTTTCATTGACAGGTCGGAGACTTACGGGTCTGTTTTCAGGTTAAATGTTCTGCATTTTGTGTTTGTGTGTGTGACCTGCCCACATGCAACTAAGGTAAACACCTGTTGTGTAATTATTGCATWAAAAAAACTATGTGAAAGTGCAAACATTGCCCATTGCTTTCTGAAGAGCTCAGAYAGTGCCAAACAGTGTTGCCAGATGGGAAATGTTGAATTATCGTATCAGCAGCTCAAAATTATCGTATTTTGAGGAAACATATCGTACACACCCAAGTTACATTCTAGAGAGGCTCAAATTTACAAATACATACTCAGCTCATAATGTGCTCTGTATTCAACAAACTGCACATTCTTTTG